TATGCAACCAGCCGGCAGATGTGTCGGGCGGGTTTGCCTATCACTAAGGCCCTAATGGCCGCTAGAACCTCCTGCAAAATACTGTTTATTATGAAATTTTGCTTTTGCGGTGAGGTTTTGCAGTGTACGTTTTGCTGTGACTGCTCCAAATCCAAGTCAAGGTGACGCGCGTCGCTGCATCTGCTTCTGCTTGAGCACATGCACGTAACCTTCTGACTCTTTCGAGGTTGCAGGTTGACACTCTTAGACTCTGAGACGCCGTAAATACGTATTGCAGTCAGAACGCTGAATTTCTTCTCAGTAACTGGAGTTTATTTTATTTAAACGAAGCTAAGCAATCAAAAGTTTTGCACTAATCCCTCTGCATTGATTTGAACCACTTTTATCCACTCATTTGTACGAAATCATGCAACTTAGCAGAACGTTTCCTCCAAAATATAAAAGTAGGGTGGAGTGTTGGCGCAAGGCAAGACGCACAGCACTCACGAAATTATGTCTTGTTTCGCCTAAGCCCCCTACTGCGCCCTCTCCCTCTTTCTCCAGTGAAATATCGCACGGTGCCGAGGGAGTCTTTGCGTGTCTTTCTCTCTCGCTCCTTATTCCTTTGCGAACGCGCGACTCGGCTCTCGCACGGCCCATGACACGACATGATATGGGGCCTGCCGCGGCCTCAGCCCGGCGCCAAATAACTCGACACAATGGTGAGGCAATAGACTCGCATACGCCGCAGCCCGCCGGAACGCGCTTGGAAGGTCGCAGTCAGCCCCCGCAACGTACCGGCAACCTACCGGCAACCTACCGGCAACCTACCGGCAACTTGCTAGCAACCTACCGGCAACCAAACCGGCAATCCGCTAGCAGCACCACCCTGCGGTCGGCGCCCCACCCGGCCCGGATGACTTGTCAATCTAATCATCACGGTGCAGCAATGCAATGCAGCACTTCACGGCTCGACGGGTGTTTTTCCTATATTTCTACCGGCTGCCATTTCTGCCGCGTTTCTTCTAGAGGTTTGCAAAACGGCTGCAGCTTCCTTAACTTTGCAACTTAGCACTGCGTCGGCCCTAAATTTATTTTTTTCAAGTTACGTTTCAGACTTCGACTTAGAACTCAGATAAAGTTCAAGAAAAATGAGAGAAATTTAAAACTTTTATGAGACAAACGAGAATGTTAATATACAGTTGACGCGTCTGGTTTTTCATTCATTTCAATTACTGCGCTTGTTTTGCTTCTTTTTTTTTTCTTCTTTTTTTCTCCCTCTCACTCGAGCCGTCTACTTTGCGCCCCAGTCGGTAGTCATAGTCAGTGGTGTGAACAGTGGTGTCTAGTGTTGCGTCCTAGCCCGGTGTGCGCCCATTAGCAGAGTGACTCAACGAGAGAGGGAGGGAGCAGGGAGAGAGAGAAAGAGAGAGAGAGGAGGCGGGTGCAGCGAGTTGCTAGAGAGAGAGAGAGAAAGAGAGACGATCACCTCTAGAGATACGCACGGGCGTGTGTTTACGAGCCGCGATGCCAAACCCATTGATTCGATAAGGCGCCATTGACTCCCGCTGCTTTTAGTGCCGCTTTAGAGCCTCTGCGACCAGCAAGGCGACCCGCACGGAGGCGCTGGACGCCCATGTCGCTGTGGGCTGGGCGCGGCGATGCACTCGTGTACCGGCCGGTGGTGCCAGAGGAGGGCCGGCGCCTCGCCGCGGCTTGACCGGAACCTCCGGCTGGGATGAGCTCTCGGCGATCGAACGACGACCATTAAAATGGACTTCCCTCGTTGCCTTTTTGTTTGTTTGTTTGTACAACGAAAAGCGACAGGGGAACCATACACGATGTTTTTATATCTTTTCACCTGGCGTTCGGGGTGACAGTCGCTGCTCAGTCGGGTTGGAATCAAGTGTACTTTATTTTTATCGTTTAAAAGAACGGGCGTTGATTTTCATCTCCTGTATAGGCACAGCGCTCCGTGCTCTGCGCAGAGTCTCACATAAGAGAACACACAAGCTGTTACTGTCGGGGCTGGGGCGTCCGCAGAGGGCGGCGTGTATGGCGGGGTGGGGTGGGCATGCAATATGGGTGCAGAACGCCTAGGCAACGCCTATCGCCGCTGTTCGCCGCGGCCGCCTCCGCCGCACCGCGCCCACCTCGTGCTCGACGCGTTAATATGTATTTGTGACGCAAGTCCAGGCGACACATCATGAGCTCCGCCCCGCCCCGCCCCGCCCGACCTTTTCTTATGGCAATGAGGTCAATTCTCTTATGCATTGCTTCCCGCTGCCGCTCTGCCCGGCTCTGCCCCGTGTGTCGCAGCCGTGGCGCCGGTGGTCGGCCGGCTGAGCAGCAGCCGCATCGCATTGTAATGAAGTAGAAGGACGAGTAGAGGAGCCTCGAGGCAAGCGATGACACTTATGAGTGTTGGCAGGTTTATTTTTTCCTCTACCCGTCTTTACCTTTCCTCAGCAGCTCCTTTTCATTTTCCCATCTAATTTTAACACTCGTTGATCATTAAGGGCGCACAGCCAATGCATATAATTTTAAACGAATTCAAAATTAGTGGTTTTGTTTTAATCTTAATTTTTCTCACTGAAATTTTTTAGATATTTTTTTCAATGCTGTATTTTTTTAAATTTTATTTCATCTGTGCCCTTTGATACTGGTACAGCACTGAAATATTGAAGCATGTTTATTTGCTCGTCTTCTTAACTAGCAAAGAAACAACTCGCATACGGCGTGGCGTACATTAGTCAATGGCTGGATTATCCTGTATACATATTACCGCATTTTACACTTGTCTCGTATCCGGTTGGTTCCACTTGTTGCATTATATTTTTGTTAATACGCGGCTCACTTTTATGCCGCTGGCACGTGCCACCACACTTCCTGTCACACTTCCTGTGCGGTGCAAATGCGAGACGCTATACTTACGGAGTGATGTTGGGCGCAGAGAGCGGCGGCTGGGGCCGGCTGGGGCCGCCCTGCCCTACGTAGTCCTGGCTGGGCGCCGGCGCCGCTGCAGTCCGCGCCGCTGATGTAACCCTTATGTCAGGGACTGTACACCGCGGCGGCGGTCCGCGCACCGTGTGCACACCCCCGCGTCCAGCAGGGGAAGGGCCGGCGGGCGTGGTCACGGCACCCGCGGTCACTCGCGGCACCCGCGGTCACTCGCGGTCACTCGCGGTCACTCGCGGTCACTCGCGGTCACTCGCGGTCACTCGCGGTCACGCGGTCACCCGTGGTCACTGACGCGTCTCCAAGTCCCCGGCGGAGGCCGCGGCTGCCTCATGGTGGGGGAGGCAGCGGTGTGGCATCACTCGTCATTCACTTGAGGCACGTCGTCGTCATCATCATCACTCACGTATCCGCGGTCGCACTCACTCACACACTCACTGCTCACTGTCGCACTCATTCACGTACACGGACACCCGCGACACTCAGCTAATCTCCATGTCGACGCTGACGCTATACACACGACTCGAGACGCGTGCGTGACGCGTGCGTGACGCGTGCGTGACCGGGCGCGTGTTCGCGACGCTGTGCGGTGCGTTTGCCTCGCGCGCCCCGCCTGGCGCGTCCGGCCCGGCTGTGAGTCGGGGAAGGACTGAGCGGAGCGCGCCGGCCGCGCGCCGGGCCCAGAGAGGCCGGGCCCCGGTGCTGCACCAGCACCCCTCCCCCCACCTCCCGCAACCCCCGTCCTCCTCCTCCTTCTCCCCCGCCTCACGAATCGCGAGTTACGCCCCTGCCGCCTCCTTCCGCCGCTCCTCCCCCGCGCGCCGCGTCGGCCCCTTCAAGGTCGCCGTCGTCGTCGTGCTGTTGCCGCGCCTCTGGGCTGTCAAAAGAAAGAGTGCAGTGCGCGTTATTTTAGTGGGCCGGTGGAAACAAAGCAATAAAAAACGGGAGGTGAAAAAAAAACCACACCGTTAATTGCAGCAGGAGCCCCCATACCGTGTTCTACTAGTGTTTCACTGCACTTGCACGCGACGCGAGCGGCAGACTAGTGTGGCGGCGTGGAAGCGCGTGTAAGTACTCTCGTGGCCTTTAATATATGCGATCGCGCCCCGCTATTTGCGACGAGCAAAAAAATAAATAAAAAAATAAACAACCGACGACAAGCTCTGCTATTACATACCTCGGGGAAAGGTCGCCTGCAGCTGTAGGTATAAAAATCCATACACTCGATGATGATGTTGATGCAGGGGGTTTCTTTTTCATGTCGCGTTTCGCACGTTGGTGTGACTTGTGCGCCCCCTTTGAGGACGTCGTCGTCGTTATTAAGTCGAGTGCGGCTCGGACCATGGCCGTTGTTGCGAGAGTGTCCGGTGGGCCGGTGATTGGGGGCGCCTCACCGAGTCGTTTGGTGAGCCGACAGAACCGATCCCAGCCCAGCGAGCGGCAGCGGCGCACGCTTTTGCATCCGTTTGCATCAGCCCCTTGTCCTCGTCAGTGGTGCCGGAGCCCTCGTAGCGCCCCAACTGGGTCAGCCCAGCTCAGTGCAGCCCTGACATTTCCAATAGGGACGCCTCCTCTGTGCGCCGCCAGTCTCATCCGCTGGCACGCTGGCCCCGTGCTGGCGCACCCCCGCTCTGCTGTGCGCGTCCCATCTCCTGTAGTGTTGTCGTGTTTTTGCTGGGTTTCGCTGTGAGACGTCCTCGTCGTGTGAGCTGACAAAGATTCTGTCGGGGAGGATTAACGTGGTGCCATTGGTACTTCGAGCCACTCCTCTTCCGCCTTGACGGTTTTGTCTATGTATGACTAACTCAGGCCCCCGCTCCTGCTCCCCCCTTTTCTCCGGCCTCCAGTCGAGCGCTCATATCTGTCCCGCGCCATCTCGGCCACCAGGCTATGTACTTTACTTAACAGAACCGTGTTTTGGTCGGGCACAGCGCGGCTTTATCCGAAAGTAAAAGTGCTCGTTCGCCGATACAACTCTTTTGTCCCCGTTCCTCGGAAATATCATCTTCTCGGGACAACAAGCCGAGGGCGCCCAGCCCAGGCCCAGCCCAGGCCCAGCCCATACCACCAACCACACCAACATCATTTTCTCGCATGGCGAGGCTTGTATGAGTGGGTCCAATCGGCTGAGAATGAGGCAGGGAAACCCGTTGACCATTCACGGCCCGGTCTCCGCGGCCCCGGCACCGAGCCCTGCATGCCCGCTTGCCCTGACATCTTTTAATTTTGCAATAAAATTACAACATGCTTTGAAATTGTTAACGCTCTTACAGAACATAGTTTTAACGTCTAAAAAATATTTTCCTAGATTTACAACATGTTGTAATATGCGATTTAAATAATATGATGTAAGTTTACGGCAATAAATTCCACGTTGAAACATAGTGCTTATGATTGCAAAATGAGTGGAGCTAATGATAATACTTGTAATGCATTGTAATTCCTTCGTAGATTCACTCAAAATTGAGTTTACTCATCCATCCGCAAGTCACAAAAAAACGCCCTTTTTAATCAAGCCGTCTTTATTATTCTGTCTCTTATTTTCTTGGTCTTTTCTGCTGCACCGATTCCTGTTTCCCTGTTAATGGCGCACCCTGCACTCGCCGTACACTCGCCGCCAGAGAGAGCAATAGCCACGGTGTCCCGCGCCGCCCTTGCAATGCTATGCCGCTCCGGGTCGTTACTCGTTAGTGGTCCATATCTCCATGCCGGACGCGCGGAGGCTGGAGGCGCTGCTGCTGCTGCTGGACGCGTGTGTGCGGCTGACGGCCCGGGCACTTTGCCTGGCTCGGAGCTCTGCTGCGGTGCCTTAGTGGAGGAGCGAGCGGTGACAATCAGCGGACAATGGTCTGCTGGTCAGCCGGCCGGGCGGGCATCGAGGCGTGTGATCGGCGGCGGGTCGTGGCGTGGCGGCTGCACGGCCGGCGCCTTTTCTTTCTGCTGCTGGGTGGCGCTGCAAACAGGATGAATGGATTCAGCTCCCGTCCCGCTGCCGCTGCCGCGCGGCGGTTCATTTTGCAGTGCAGCCCCGCGGGGCTTGCAGAGATGATCTCGATTCCGCCGCGCCCCGCCCCGCCCCGCCCCCGCTGGCGCTCGCCGTGGGGCGCCCCGCGTGCTGCCGTGTCGCGTTATACAATTGGATGGCCCGCTTGGGCTTGGAGTGCACCCCCTCCCCCTCCTCCTCCTCCCCCGTCGTCCTCCTGCTTTGCTCCCTCTGTCTGTGGGCGACGCGGACTAACCGCGGCCGCGGGCCCCGCGCGGTACTCCGCGGCCAGCAGCAGCAGATTTAATCTTGACGCGCGGCGGGGTCCCGTAGCTGCAGCCGCTACCGCTGCAACTTCTTCTAGGGCTCTGCTGCCCACGGGAGATTTTTTTTCCCTCTTCTTCTTCTAGTGGCGCAGGGCAGGGCCGCCGCCGCACCGCCACCACCACCACCGTTCGTTTGCACCGCGAGGGGGGCGCGGAGGGAAGCAGTACCAAAGCGCCGTGGCCTCGTTGCGCAACCTGAATTCATATCCGGACCTCATCATTCTGTCACCGCTCCACTCCGCGGCGGTGCGGCTCCGCGGCGGTGCGGCTCCGCGACTGCGCGTACGCTCGACGGGTTCATTCAGAGCGCACAGCGCGCCGCCGCCGTGCGGCAAAAGTCTCACGTCCCTTATAATACGTGTTTAGAGCCTTTAATGACGGATTTGTATCCCGTGTGCGTGCCCATGTGCGCGTGTAGACTATATACAGCTTTGTGATTCGACTTGCTTTATTTCACCTTTGAAACTGTTGTTTTCCAAAATGTTCCCTGAAGACAACACCGATTAGACAGGTAAAATCTCTGCCATTTTCAAAGAAACGTCATGGCCGTCACACATGACTGATGAACGATTTAGTCTCGTTGAAGCCTGTGAAGCTGAAGCCACCCTTTCATTTGTTTTCACCAGCCAGAAGCCAATCAGATCACCCAAAACAAATGACGGGGTGGCTTCAGCTTCACTGGCTTCAACGAGACTAAATCCATCATGATAAGCGAAAGAGTCATTATCCACTGCGACGTTGTTAGTTTGTCAAATTCCCAATAGGGTGGCGACTACAAAATCACATTGTGCAATGTGTTGTGCATGGCTGATTACACGCGCAGCTGATTTACGGCATGACACGTGTACTTGCATCTGTGTTATGTTGTGTTTGCGTGCGTACTACATCATGACGCCATACACTCGCGAGCCGAGAGGTCACCGGCCGCATACTCTGTGCACCCCATCGCACATTGTCTCCTCCGTGTGCACGTGTGTATGTGCCTGTGTGTGTGTGTGTCAGTGCGCGTGTAGACGGTGGGGGGAGTTATGACGTTATGATTGATTTCTCCGTGGGGTCATTACATCGCTGTCGGCGCCCCCCTCTCCCCTCCAGCTCGTGGTCCCATGTGATTGCCCACCACTACTACTCCCGCGGCCGGTCCGTCTGCGAGGGGCTCGCGGAGGAGCACAGATAGCATCCGTCGTGACTGCGTGACCGGACTGTGACCACGCGGCGTGACCGGATGACTGTGACAACAGCGTGACCAGGACCGTGACCACGGCGGCGGCCACGATATCGACACCTCAGGGGACGCTGCGGCCCGCGCGCGTGTGGAGATGTGTGAGATAGACGAGGAGTCACTTCCACGACGCCACTTTACGGCGCACCCCACCGCGCCCCACCCCGCCCCACCCCGCTTCTAGGCGGCGACACGGGCCGGAGTGGCTTCCTGCCGACACCTCCCGTGTAGCCGGCGCTAAATTCACGACTTGTTTTGGCAACAAGAGGCCGTGCCGGATCGGAACCTCCGCGCGGCGCGGCGGGGACTCGATCGGACTCTTATTGGGTTGGAGTCAGCCGGTTAGCAGCAGTTAGCAGGGAAAAAGACTGGGGAGGAGGAACCGAAACGGGCTCGCCAGGAGGAGTTTCTTTTACACAATCGAGGCGTTTTTAATGGGATGCAGTTTGTTACATGGGCGACGACGTGGTGGTGCTTCTTCGCCCCGATCGCCGTTGTGACTCCTCTCTTCACTCTTTCGCGAAACGAATTTCCCCGACCACAGCAGTAAAGGGGCGGCGGTGCGACGGCGAGCACGGCGACAAGGGCGGTATGGCCTTCATGTCCCCGACGCGGACCTCGGCCGAGGTGAGACCGGGTGGGCCTGGCGGGCGGCCTTGGGCTTGGCGTCCTGCGGCGGGGCGGGCGTCTGTCTGGGAAGCCCCACCCCGCCGCGCCCCACCCTGCTCGCCCCGCACCACCCCGCCACGCTCCGCTTTAGAGGGGGGCCTCCTCCTGGCCTCGGGGGCCTGCCCCGGGAGCAGATGAGTCGCCCGGCCGGCGCGCAAGCTCAACCGACTGCCATTCCTGCAGAGGAAGCGGCCGGAATGGCCATAAAGAGGCAGTCAGTCTGCCGGGCGGGGCGGGGCGGGCGGTCGCAAAGCGGTCGCAGAGCGGTCGTAACCGAGTCGCGGTTACCAGCCCGCGCGCGCGCGCACAACCCAAACCTGGCGGCCAAGGCAAAGCGAAAAAACAAAATTAAAAATAAAAATTAAGAAATAAAGCAGCATAGGAGGTCTGCAGTGCCAGCGGGTAGACATGGTCAGGGGAAGGACCAGCACGCTCGCGTTTTGGCGCGTCGCCTGGCCCCGCCCC